CCACATAAATACACTTATCTCATAATAGACAAGGGTGCCAAAAACATTAACTGGAGAAAAGATAGCCTATTCAACTAATGGTGCTGGCAAAACTGGAAATCCATATGTAGCAAAAATGAAATGAAGCCTCTATCTGCACATAATAGAAGAAAAAATAGGCCAAAACTTCACCATGTCAGCCTAGGATTTGACTTCTTTAATAAGATTTCTAAAGCGCAAGAAGTACAATCAAGAATCAATAAATGGAAAGATTTCAAATTAATTCTCAGCAAAAAAAATGTGAGGAGAGAGCCTACAGACTGCAAGACAATCTTTACCACATGCACCTCTGATAAAGCATTAATCTCTAGATATATAAAGAACTCAAAAAACACAAAAAAACAAATAACCCAATCAATAAATGGACTAAGAAACTGAACAGAACACTTCACAGGAGAAGAAATACAATTGATCAACAGATATATAAAAAAAGTGTTCAACATCTTCAGCAATTAGAGAAATGCAAATTAAAACTACTGTAAAATTTCATCTCACTCTTGTGAGAACGGCAATCATCAAGAATACAGGCAATAATAAATGTTAGCAAAGATGTGAGGAAAAGGGTACACTCATACACTGCTGGTGGGACTGCAAATTGTTGCAGCCAATATGGAAAGCAGTATGAAGATTCCTCACGAAACTGGGAATGGAACCACCATTTGACCCAGCTATCCCACTCCTTGGTTTATACCCAAAGGACTTAAAATCAGCATACCACAGCCACATCAATGTTTATACCAGCTCAATTCACAATAACTAAACTATGGAACCAACCTATGTGTCCCTCAATAGATGAATGTATAAAGAAAATGTGGTATATGTACTCAACAGAATATTACTCAGCTCTAAAGAAGCATGAAATTATGGAATTTGCCAGTAAATGGTAGGAGTTGGAGAATATCATGCTAATAAGCCAGTCCCACAAAACCAAAGGCCAAATGTTTTCTCTAATATATGGATGCTAATTCACAATAAGGTGGGGGGCACTCAGGAAGAATAGCATTACCTTAGATTAGGTAGAGGGAAGTGATAGGAGCAGGAGAGGAGGGGATGTGGGGATACTAAAGAGAGTAGAATGAAACAGACATTATTACTTTATGTGTATATGTGAGTACATGACCAATATGATTCTGCAACATGTATACTCATAAAAATAAGAAATGATATCCCATCTATGTATGATATAATGCATAAATGCATTCTACCGTCATGTATTAATACAAATTTAAAAAACAAAAAGAAAGATTAGTAGAATTAAGTGGATCATGGGAAGTGAAAGGAAAGATACTAGGTTGAGATGGATCATATTATGTCATGTGCATGTATACATATGAATAGGGCATAATGAATCCCACTACTATGTATGACCATAATGTACCAATAAAAATAATAATAATGATAGCAATAATAATAATACCTGTACTCCCATGTTTATTAAGTCACTATTCTCCACTGCCCAAGATTAATCAATAGATGAAGTGGTAAAGAAAATATAG